TGGCCATGTGGGTGGTCTCATGGTGTGGCTGCTGCCGTGCGATGCATGCGATGGCATCTGCAGGAGAGACGGCGGGCTGTTGGACCGAGCTGGTGGATTCGGCACTGGACGGTCATTTTTTGACAGAAAGTCCCATGTTTGCCCCTCGCACCCATGGCATGTCAGGCAAGGGGTGGCAGGAGTCAAGAGAGCCAGGGGTCAAGGGGGTTCTCCTACTGCAGGGGTGTGGACCAGATTCTGGGGGAGAAAGTGATTCGCGGTGCACCGTCGTTTGTTGAGTTTGGACGGTATAGTTGCATTGACGCGGTCGAGGGGGAACAAAGCGGTCGCAACCCTGGACCTGGAGGGACCAAGCTGGTGCGACCTGACTAGGTTCTTGAACTTGACCCTTCTCTTTTCATCACTTTCCCGACCACAAAAGGAGGGATACCTCGCCTCTTGGACTGACGGCGCCGGTGATTCAGGCACCTCAAGGTTTGGTAGGTCTGTATAAGGTACTATGAATGCGGCCAGGCAAATAGGTAAGGGTCAGGAGGCAGAGGAGGCAGAAGGACTAGGAAGGTCCAGCCCAGGTCAATGCCTGCCTACTGCCCCCTGTTCAATAATGTGCCAGCAATAGCAACAGGTTCGCAGGAGCGACCGCATTGCCCAATTAGTAGTGATCACCAACCAATCTACTGATGTGACCCCAACGCCCAGGCCCATTGCACCCAAGCCATGGCACAGTTAAGCGCCCGACAACGTGGGTCTGTCCAGAGAAGGCCTAGCGTCGTGCAACCGAAACTGCAGCTGTCCACTCACCGATTGCGATGGTGCATCGCCGTTGTCTTGGGTCTTGGGACCTTCTCTGTCTTCTCATGTTCGCTCTTTCCGATAATGACCTCGCGGGCTCGGCGGCGGCAAGAGTACCTGGGTAGTAGACAAATATATCCCTTTTCTTACCCTCATCCCCCGCCTCCGTCTCTCTGTCACCAACTTCCAGGAACCATGCCTCTGGATCTATGACCAACGATCGACATTGTCTTTCTCTCCTGCATCGTGCGACTTGACCAACTTGACGGAATCCACATTTTGCCTTTCAAGGCCTCAAACCCAGGCGCAAAACGACCCTACACCACCCCACCCCCCCTGGTCACCGACGAAACGTCACAAGAGCCTCGACTCGTCTCCGTCAAAGCGTCTCTAACACGTCTCGTCTCAACTCAAGCCAAGCATTGTCGCAATTGCCCTGTCGTCTGATGCCTCGCTACCACCTCCCGCTCGTCCAAAGCTAGCTGATACGAGTCTATCCAGCTGCGAAACCCCGATTCCCCAACTCCTGCGTCTGATCTGCCAGGCCTCACAGGCATCGTCGTTTCCTCTCTACCTGGCTCGCCTTTCTGGCGCCCCGCTTGCTCCAGCAGACCCAAGCACACGTCAAACGGCCTGTCGGACCTTGTGCATAGCTTGCCCAAGCAGCTCCATGCCTGCGTGCCACCCGAACAACTTGTCAGCCCGCCAAGGTTGTCTCCCTTGCTCACAACCCATCTGGTTATACCCCGATACCACTACCACCGGACCACGGCACCAGCTCCAAGATCAACAATTATCTTCGAGGTCGGACCCTAGCATCCTAGTCACGGCATCGCGTCTACCCGTTGGGTTGCCATCCCGTTATCCTAAACAGCCCGGCCTTTGCGTCTCATCCATCGCCTCTTTTATGACCTTATACCCCCGCGTCTCATACGTTTAACCTTTTTCTTTCCCTCTGCTCTACCTCCACCTTCTCTCCTGCATTCTTTTTCTTCTCTCGTGTTCCGTCATAGTACGTGGTGAGGAAGTAGAGTCGCAACCCAACTTTCGACACCCTCGCCTGACGGAATTTCTTCCATTCATTCACGCAGCTGCTGGCTCAGATCGCTCTTTTACGACTCGGCTGGACTACCGTTATTGCTGGGGCGCTTTTGGTTCTCTACGACACTTTTTTAATTCGACAGCAAGATAAAGGATACTGGGACGGCCTGGTCGGATACTCAGCTCAAGCGCTCTGGTGGGAAACTCAGGCTCGGGCATACCTAGCTCGTTGACCCAATTTCGGAGCACCGTTGTATTGTCGCCGGACGACACACTTAATCAGCATTCGAGACCGAAGCGCGAAGACGAACCGCCAAGATGCCTCTCGCCAACTTTTCCCTGGTCAAGAAGCAGTTCACTGCGACGAAGATGCTGTTCAACATACTCTTTTGGGGTGTGCACTGGGGCATCTTTGCCTTTGGATGGTAGGTCTCCGTCGTTCGGGACCATGGTAAAGGAGGAGGAGGGCTGACTGTGTTCTCCAGGTACAAGCAGGCTGCCGAGCCTAGGCTGGCGCCACTCAACACACTGAAATATTCCGTGTGGATTTCCAGAGGTGCTGGTCTCGTGCTTAGTGTGGACGGCACATTGATCCTGCTCCCCGTCTGCCGAACCATCATGCGATGGATCCGGCCGAAGATCAGATTCCTACCTCTAGATGAGAACATCTGGTTTCACAGACAGGTGGCGTATGCCATGGTGTTCTTCACCCTGCTGCACACAGGTGCTCATTACATCAAGTAAGCGATGTTCATTCGTGGCGATCTCAACCCTCGCTGACCTGCGTAGCTTCTTCAATGTCGAGCGTGCCCAGCTTCGTCCTGAGACTGCAGTCCAGATCCACTACGCGCAAGCTGGAGGCGTTACAGGCCACATCATGCTATTCTGCATGCTCATGATGTACACGACTGCTCATTCCCGTATTCGCCAACAGTCTTTCGAGACATTTTGGTACACACATCACCTCTTTATCCCCTTCCTCCTCGGCTTGTATACCCATACGGTCGGCTGCTTCGTGCGCGACACCGCCGCCCCTTTCTCTCCCTTTGCCGGCAAGGATTACTGGGAGCACTGCATCGGTTATCTCGGCTGGCGCTGGGAGCTTTGGAGCGGTGGCCTCTACCTCATCGAGCGCCTGTACCGTGAGATCCGGGCCCGCAGAGAGACTAAGATTACCCGTGTCGTTCGCCACCCATACGACGTTGTCGAGATCCAGTTCAGCAAGCCTTCCTTCAAGTACAAGGCCGGCCAGTGGCTCTTCCTTCAGGTCCCTGGCATTTCCAACTACCAGTGGCACCCATTCACCATCACCTCTTGCCCGTTTGACCCCTACGTATCGGTCCACGTTCGCCAGGTTGGTGACTTTACCCGCGCTCTCGGCGATGCCGTCGGCGCCGGTGCTGCACAGTCTAAGCTGTATGATGGCGTCGACCCCATGGGCATGTACGAGGTGGCCCTGCAGAACGGCCAGCAGATGCCTAGCCTCCGCATCGACGGCCCTTACGGTGCGCCCGCCGAAGACGTCTTCAACAATGAAATTGCCGTTCTCATCGGCACTGGTATCGGTGTCACGCCGTGGGCCTCCATCCTGAAGAATATCTGGCACCTGCGCAACGGACCCAACCCTCCCACCCGTCTCCGTCGTGTCGAATTTATTTGGGTCTGCAAAGACACTGGCTCTTTTGAGTGGTTCCAGACCCTCCTTTCCTCCCTCGAATCTCAATCCGACGAGGCTGCACGCACACCAGGCAGCAACGGCATTGAGTTCCTCAAGATCCACACCTATCTCACACAGAAGCTCGACATGGACACAACCCAGAACATCGTTCTTAACTCAGTCGGCGCCCAGCTCGATCCTCTCACCGAGCTGAAGTCCCGCACCAACTTTGGAAGGCCAAACTTTTCCAAGCTCTTCTCAACCATGCGCGATGGCATCCTCGACCGCACTTACCTCAACGGCCTTGAGGGCAGCATGCGGACGACGGTTGGTGTCTACTTCTGCGGCCCCTCCGCAGCCGGTATGTTATTCATCTCATCTCAATGCAACGAAGCCCATGCTAACGATGGTTTCCAGCCCGAGATATCAAGGGTGCTTGCAAGGACGCCGCCATCCCTGAAGTTAACTTCCGTTTCTGGAAGGAGCATTTCTGAGCGGGATGTCTTTTTATGTCGTCTGTGTGTGGATCATGGGTTTTTTTTCTTGAGACTCGAAACAGCGAGCATGAGACCTGGGAGCGTCAGCGGGCCAATGTCATTTACAATGAAATGTGCAACCGATTTTAGGCATCGATCGGGTGCATCATCTGCCATTCATATACTTTTTCTAGTCTCGGCACCATGGTCGCACTTTGTCATGGTGATTCCCTCAAGGAGGTTTGCATATTGTGCCGAACTGCGCCCAGCCTGAATTCGCGATGCCTGCCGTCTGCATAGCGTTACTGGTTCTTGTGAAGACCCAATCTGCTTCCTCACCCTGGCTCTGCTCGTCAGGGAGTTTGTACCTGGATATACGTCAGTCAGGCAGTCCGTCTTTGTCACTCATGGATGGTCCGTCTTGCGGCACCATCTCATCAATTCGCCAATTAGCTTGCTGGAGCAGATGGACAGCCCGCTGCCAACTTCGAGTGTGCCATCGCGCAAGCGAACCATGCCATACACCATGGCATACGCTCCGTGACGCAAAACGCATGCCCCCTCAGCCGGCCGCGTCCCCTCGAACACGAGTACGTTGAAAATGTTCGTGTCATTCGAATTCGTCTATCTGCATGAGTCTGCTCTGAAAGCCAGAGGACGAAGCGCTAGCTAGCTATACACGTCTTCTTTCAAGTGAAAAGGACCAATATTCGCCGATCGAAATGCCAAAATGCAACATGACCAGTTCAAGTCGCGTTGTGCCCTGCCCTGCCCGCACGCAATGCTTTCCGTATGGAACAAAAAAACCAAGTACACTGAAATGAAGCACACAGCCATGTGAGACGCGATTGGGCTGAAAAATGAGGCCAGTAGATAAGACCGACGAAGCGAGGCGGGCTCGAACACATCGCCTCGTCTGTGTCGGAAAGCGCTCATCTAGCAGGATATTGCATGAGTAAACTGGAAGGGTGGTCCTTGTGCGTCCTGTTTTTTCCCCGCCTCCGAACCAGACGGAACGCCAAACCCCGCCCTTCTTAAGAACGCCGATGACCACCCTCCTCCTGGAGGCGTCCCACGTTCTCTTCCGTCAGCGAGTCCCTGGCCTCAGGGGCTCGGAACGAGGACGATCTCAGAGGCGGTTGCTCCCTGCCCCCGGCCGCCTCCATCATTTTCCCGGCCTGTGCTTGCAGCACCATCTCCTCTGTGTCCGAATGTCGGATCGGTTTGATGTTCTCGTAGGCCGCCGGCGAATCGAAAGGTGAAGGCTCGTGGCCGTTGTGGGACATGGGTTTTGGCGTCAGTGGACTTTGACGGCCCTCTTCCTCGAGCGCCCGCACTTTGCTATCCACCACGCCGGCATCGGCGACATGACTGGCCTGGCCTGCGGTGCTCGCTGCGTCGTGTGTCTGGCCGGGAGCGTCTTTATCTCCCCTGGGGCCATCGTCCAGGCCGACGCATGGTATGTCCGCGTTACTGCAGTGCTCCGCAGTGTCAGAACAGTCCGAGGTTGATAGAGCAATCTCTCCCCGCAGCCGTGGACTCTTCCTCTTGGTGAGACTCCACCGCACAAGCTTTCGCTCCAGCGTCTTTCCCTTGACTGGCTTCGCAAGGTAGTCGTCCATGCCAGCCTTTCTACATTTCTCTCTGTCGCCCTGAATCGCCGATGCCGTCATGGCTACGATGGGGATGTCGCTGACGAAAGTCTTGTACGGGGCGTGCCTTCGAAGCAGATGCGTGCATTTGTAGCCGTCAATCACGGGCATTTGGACATCCATAAGTATGATGTCGGGTTTTGTCTTCTTGCCCTGCTGGGCCGCAACGAGATAGTCCAGAGCTTCTTTGCCGTTCCACACAGCAACCACGCTGAAACCTAGTTTCATGATTGTCTTAGTCGCGATTTGCTGGTTGATTGCGCTTGACCATGTTAGCAATTTGTCTCTCTTTTCGAGCAACGTGCGACCTACTTATCCTCAACAACGAGCACATGGATTTTGGAGCGCTCTGAGGCTGGAAGATCCTCCTCTTGGCCTGGAGAGGCTCGTAGAGATCGTTGGCGTTGTGGTGAGCTGGTCGTGTCCGGCATCAAAAGCCCGGTTTCAGATGCCATGGGCGGGGTACCGACAAGCTGCTCGTAGTCCGAGCTGTTGCATGACATGCTCATCTCTGACTGTAATCTGCTCGGGAGGCCATCAATCTCGACAAGGGCGCCTCCTCTCTGTGGTCCTTGAGGCTTGCTGAACGGGATCCAGAACGTGGCCGTGGTTCCGTTGCCCAGGTCCGACTCGAGCGTGATCTTGCCGCGCATGAGCTCCAACAGGTTCTTGCAAATGGTCAGGCCGAGACCGGTGCCGCCGAACCTTCTGGCAGTCGACGCATCACCCTGGCTGAAGGGCTGGAACAGCTTCTTGCGAACCTCCTCCTCGATGCCGATACCAGTATCCTCGATCGTGAATCGAATGATGACCGAGTCGTGCGTCTCCTTCTCCTTCTTGACGCTGAACTTGACGTGGCCCTGGTTCGTGAACTTGATACTGTTCGTCAAGAGGTTCGTCACGATTTGCCGCACTCGTCCAGGGTCTCCGATCACGACCATGTCATTGGTAATTTCTCTCGATACATCAGAGAGGAATGCCAGGTCCTTACGCTCGGCTGCGAAGCTGAGCATCTTGCTGACATCCTTGAGCACTACAGAGAGCGAGAATTGGACTTCCTCAATGTCTAGGCGGCCCGATTCCACTTTGGAAAAGTCGAGAATATCATTGATCACCGTCAAGAGGGCGTTTGCAGACCGTTGGATGTTTTCGACATATTCACGTTGTTCGGAGTCGAGCTTCATATCTTGCAGCAATTCGGCCATACCAATGACTCCCGTAATGGGCGTTCGAATCTCATGGGACATCTGACGAGGTGGTGTTAGTATAGCAAAGGGGTAGCAGGGGGGGGTGCCACGCGGGGAGACCACCTACATTCGCCAGGAACTGGCTCTTGAGGCGGTTGGCCTCTTTAGCCGCTGCTGCATTCGCCATAGCCTGTTTCTTCTCCTTGAACTCCTCTTCGAGATTGGTTTGCTTCTCTTTAAGCTCGGTCACATCCATCACAACGCCGATGGCACCTTCCACACAGGCCTCCAGTGATCCGTTGGCTCCATTGGTTCGTTTTCCGGGCACTGGGAGGAAACGTGTGCGGTACCAACGTCCATCAATGCCGTGCTCCTCGACCAATTCTCGCTGCTTCCCATCCAGAATTCCCTCGATGGGCCGCAGGAACTTTGGTTCTTCGCCAGGTGCCAGTTGTGTGTTCAAACGGTTGAAGACATCGTACATGTCTTCGCCAATGTACCAGCTGGAATCACGGGTAGGATCCCCGTCGTTCAGATCCCAGATGAGCGCGCCCTCCAGCATTGTGAGCTTGTGATCACGGTCCACCGTGAATATTGTAACGTGCGCATGGGCGAGGACGCTCAGGAGCTGTTGCCTGGTTCGTTTCGCAGCCAGTGTGGCCTCGATGCTTTCGTGAACATCAGTACACGTGCCGAACCATTTCTCAATCGCCCCCGTCTCCCGATTCTTCTGGGGAAGCGCACGGCCCAGCATCCATCTCCAATCGCCATCCTTGCTGCGGCATCGGTACTGTGTGACGTAGGGTTCGCCGGTCGCTATGGAGCGCTTCCACCGCGCGGTCGTCTCCATAAGATCGTCCGGATGGAACGGGGTCTGCCATGCGGCTCCTAGCGATGTTTCAGGCGTCAGGCCTGTATAGGTGTACCACCTCGTGTTGAAAAAGTCTGGCATGCCCTCAGCTGTCGCAGTCCAGACCAACTGAGGCATCGTGTCGCAGATGAGCTTAAACCGCTCTTCCTCTCGTTCCTTGATGTCTGTGATCTCCTGAGCCATTGACGTCACATCGCGAAACGTGACCACGCCAGCCAGGAATTCGCCCGTGATATCATCGGTTATAGCTTCACCCAGAACGTCAAACTGCAGCTTTTCGCCAGCCTTGTTGTGCATACCGACGCGCATGCTCGCGAAGGGTGTTTCGGTCTGGAGGAGTACGGAGATCGGGTACTCGCTTATATCCAACTCTCGCGAGAACGTCTCATCCCAGCACGTCCATCCGGGCAGGAGATCAAATCCGTCCACGGACTTTTCCAGGTCGCCGTCTTCGCGTAGGAGGTCACGGGCAGCTCGGTTAGGGAAAGAAACACTGCCATCCTTCCACATGGCTAGTATAGGCATCTGCGTATTGTCCAGGAGTGCGTCCTTCATCAAGATCATCTTTTGAAGGATGGAGGGCGCGCTTGCATACGCCGCATTGGAGGGTGGGCCCATGGGAGGAAATGTATTCGATGATAAGGAGACTGCACTCGGGCTGATCCGGAAAGACGGTGAGCTGGAGTCGTGGCTGGAGCTGACGGATGGAGGGTTGGAGTTGGATATGGTCTTGCGCTCAGCAGCATCCAAGAGATTAGACTTGGCCACCGCCTTGCTCAAGGGTAAGGGGGCAGGCGGTGATTGTGTGCTGGTAAAAGAGAGGGTGAAGTAGACTTGGTTGTCTTCGATTTCCCAAATGGTAACAATCATCTTCGCGTACACCTCATAGTCGGACTTTTGCGTCGAGCCCCGGGGCTTAAATCCTGGCCTTCCAATATCCTTTTTCGTTATGACGACATCTACCGCAGCATCTTTGACGGGACTGGCTGAGGGATCTCTGCGGTGTCCTGTCGTAGGTGATGGCCTGGCATCGGTAGTCGGTGTGGATTCCCCGTCCATCAAGTCGGCAGCCGCAGCTGCGTCTTTGGACGTGTGTCGCGAGCCCATCTCCAGCACCAAGGAGTCAAGGAACGATTCCCACACCACCCACACCGGTCGGCCATCTTGCAGCATGTCAATTCCAACTTGAGACAGTGACTGACCCCGCAGCTTCTCGAGCGCATGAAATGAATCGTCGGCAGTATCTGTTTCTAAGCCCAGCATGCGACCCATGGCTTCGTTGGCGAGGACGACGGTTTTGAGATTGTTGAGGACCAGCAACGGGACGGGGAGATACTGCATGGCGGAGAAGGCGAGCTGGCCCGGCGTGACATAGGGCATCGAGAGACGAAAGGGGCTGGAATTTTGTGATCGCTGGTCGCCGGTAGCGAAACTCGGGGGGTTGTTGCGAAAGAAGCGGTTGGCGGACGTCGATAGGATGGTGGGGACATCATCAGACTGCTCAGGATTCGAGGTGGGTGTTGGGCGGGCGTCAGAGCTGTGTGACGATGCGCCTCGCGCCTCCGGGATCATGGCCGGCGGAGGTGTCTTGCTAGGGAGAGGCGATGCGAGAGCAGAGGTGTGGCCTCGCCCGCCATGGTCGCTGGCAGGCATGGAGTCAAGTGTAACCATTCTGGTGCTCGCCGGCGAGGCATGTGATTGAATGCAGTGGTGACGCCGGGGCTGCAGTGGTGGAGAGGGTCGCGTCGAAAGAGGGCAGTTGCAGCTGGCAACTGGAGGGCTCTGGAAATATCGCTGGCGTCGTGGGCGTAGTTGGATGTCGCGAGAGGTGCGTTTCAACAGCAGCGCATGGTGTCGAAGAGTACGAGTCCTGGCTGGTCACTGAGGACGATGCGAGGAGGAGACGAACAAGTGCGACACAGCGGTCCAGACCTAGCCGGCGGAGGGGCTGACTCGGCCCCAGCTGCACGGCCAGAGGGGTTCGGGTGGCGGCACTCCAGTCGCGATCTCGGTGCGACGCCTGTTCGGTAGAGCTAGGGCGTGAGCAATTAGGCGCCAACCCGCGATGCGTCAAGTCTGTTGTGTGTGCGGACTGCGTGTGGGTGTGTATATATGTATGTGCGTCAAGACGCCGAGAAGCGGACTAGTATACCGAATGTGAGCGGGCGTTTGCTGTGGTATGTACGGTACAGACTTTGGGCCAATTCAGTGTCACGCGATCGCTTGTTCGTCTTCCCGGTTGCTATGCAATGTCGGTGGTGGCAGCAGCAGCGTTGACCCGTTGATGAGAATTGTGGTTTAGAACGGCGGGGCACACGGGCGGTGTTATCGATCAAAGTCGTGGAGACGAACTGGAAGCACCTAGGTGGGGGGGGGGGGGTTCCGTGGAACACGGCGGGACGGGCTGGGCGATGGAGGTCGTGGTTGTGGTGGTGGTGGTGGTGGTGTTGCTGTTGCTGTTGCTGTTGCTGGCGCTGCGGCGGCGTCTGGGCGAAGCAACAAGACAGCAAGCAATGACTTTGTTCGATGGATGCGTGTGTGTTTGTGTAACGAGGCCAGAAGCAACGAAGAAGGAAGAGATCCGGAAAAAAGATGTCGGAGCGAGACAAGTGAGGAATTGACGGGTGACGAAAACAGAAAGAAACTGACTCGAGCTCGCTCAGATGAACCCTGGTTCACGCCTCATGGAACGTCAGATGCGTGTGACTACCTAGGTAGGTGAAGGTACCTTTGGGTAAGACAAAGGAGGAAGAAGAAGAAGCAGGCGGAGGCAAGCAGAGCTGAGAAATCAGAGGGCGCGGGAAGCGTGGGTGGGAAAGGCTTGCATTCCGCGTCAAGGGGAGAAGGGCCAGCATGGAGAAAAAGCAGCCATCCTCCGTCATAGTGTGAACTTTGTTTGCCTTGGAGGAGGCACTCGAGACGATGCGGACCTTCACTTTGGGAGGCACCTGCAGCAGAAGCCGATTGGGAGGAAGGGGAGGGGGGGTGCTTATGTCGGGCAGGGTAAGGGGAGGGTGGGAGGGGGGGGGAGGGGGGGGAGGGGGGGGGTCGTGGTTTACGG